AGGATGTAATCCTGACACATCCATAGAAGTGGGGCTTGGTAAAATGCACGTTACCCAGGGTGAAATCATCTCTGCTGAGAACTGGCCAACTTCTGTGTTTCTTCTTCCCTGGCCCTAAAGTCAAAGCTGATGTGCCAGTCTCCCACAGACGTACACAGAGACCTACTGAGGGGTGAGCACATCTTCACCTACCCAATGGCCAGATTTTCAGGTCAATCCTGCAAGTGCCACCTGGATCCATGTCAGAACCAACATGAGCAGTGCATGATGCAAAAAACATTTTCACCCCCTCAGGAGCTTGGCAGATATGTCATTTATTGGCAGACATGTCATTTATTATTTATGCAACATCATAGGAGAACACAGTGCTCTTGAAACAAATAAAAAATGACTGGTCTGTGTCTGATTGCACCCCCCCCTGCCCCCAACCCTCCCTGTGACTGAACTCCTAGCCTAGAAGTCTGCTTCTAAAACCCTTCAAAAAGGGCAACCTGTTTTAGGAAAGGGGGCAGGATCGGGTCCAACATGCCAGGCAAAGGATGACAGCAAACAAGGCATGTCAAGGATTACAATGAGAATGAACGGTGAAAGATGCTGACTGACAAATCCCCACATATTTTTGGATGGTTCTGTGGTTTTAATTTATTCCATTAAAATCTGGAAGCAGTATCCAAAGGAACTGGGAAAGCATCTAGTAAGATGTGCATGTGAGGCTCAGGACCTTTCACTGGCATGTTGAGATGTTTGCAGGGGCACAGAGCTGGCTCCTGGGAGTTTGGCCAACAGGTACTTAACTTTTCGATGCTGCTGGTTTGCACTCCAGCATCTAGGGGTGTCTATACATGTGCTCCAAGGTGGCGGTGGAGCGGTGTTTTAATTAGAGAAGTTTCCGGGCAGCCACTCTAATTAAAATGCCAGTGTGTCATGTGTATTCAGCATCTTGCATTTCAAAATGGCCACGGGGGCACTTTAACTAAAGCTCAATTAACGAGTTTTAGTTAAAGTGCCCCTGCGGTCATTGTGAGATGTGGGATGCTGAATACACGTGACACTGCCGTATGCTGGAGAGCTCTAATCCGATTGCTCCAGCAGACTCGATTAATCTACTTAGAACATGCCGGAGCACATGGATAGGCACCCGAGGTGAATCAAGGCTGAAATTTTCAGAGTAAGTGCCGAACTTCTCCATTGAAAGCGCCGTGCCCAGCTCACTAACACATACGATTATTAAGAGTGAATTTACACGTTACACTTAGACCATACTAAGGACATTTAAAATGAAGTGTTTGCACATTAAAGCTCATTAACTCGTGCTAAGTGCCCGCTGGGTATCTCACTTCAGAGGAAGGTTGACTCGGCCGTGCTACCTAGCTCATGCTAGAATAACCTTAGGTGGCTACAAGGAGATAAAACAAGCAATTTGTATTCATCCAGAATCCCAGGATGCATCACTACAAGTCCCCGTCCCCACCCAGAGCAGGGATAGAGCCAAGGCGTCCTGGCTCCTAGCCATGCCCCTGCTTGCCAGCTCTCTATGGGCAAGTCAGAACAGCGCAGGCAAGAACTGGTATTAACCACACGCGACTGCTCACAGCACGTTCTCACCTCATTAATGATGTGGACATTGGGGTCAGAAGCGGACTGGCCAAGTTCGCCGATGACACCAAACTCTGGGGCAAAGCATCCACACCTGAGGACAGGAGGACGACCCAGGCTGACCTGGACAGGCTCAGGAAATGGGCGGATGAGAACCTGATGGTGTTTAACACCGAAAAATGCAAGGTTCTCCACCTTGGGAGGAAAAACCTGCAGCATGCTTATAGGCTTGGCAGTGCTACGCTGGCTAGCACTACGGACAAATGGATTTGGGGGTCATGATTGACCACAAGATGAACATGAGCCTGCAATGTGATGTTGCAGCTAGTAAAGCGAGCAAAACGCTGGCTTGCATCCATAGATGCTTCTCAAGCAAATCCCGGGACGTCATTCTCCCATTGTACTCGGCCTTGCTGAGGCCGCAGCTGGAGTACTGCGTCCAGTTTTGGGCTCCACAATTCAAAAAAGGATGTGGAGAAGCTTGAGAAAGTGCAGAGAAGAGCCACGCGCATGATCAGAGGTCAGGAAAACAGACCTTACGACGAGAGGCTGAGAGCCATGGGACTCTTTAGCCTAGAAAAGCGCAGGCTCAGGGGTGATCTGGTGGCTGCCTATAAGTTAAGGGGTGCTCATCAGGATCTGGGGAAACATCCGTTCACCTGGGAGAGTGCCCCAAGGGATGACAAGATCAAACAGTCACAAACTCCTCCAAGACCGTTTCAGGCTAGACATAAGGAAGAACTTCTTTACTGTCCAAGCCCCCAAGGTCTGGAATAGCCTGCCGCTAGAAGTGGCTCAAGCACCTACTTTTTACGCCTTCAAGAGAAATTTGGATGTCTATCTTGCTGGGATCCTATGACCCCTGCCGACTTCCTGCCCCTGGGGCAGGGGGCTGGACTCGATGATCTTCCGAGGTCCCTTCCAGCCCCAACGTCTATGAAATCTATGACATTCTTTATCTACCTTAGAGATCTATATTTCTGTTCATAACTGTAGTACCGACGGCCCAGATCCTCACAGAGACTAAGGTGCCTCCTTATTTAGGTGCTTAGATACCATTAGAGATCTGGAACTGGATGCTTTCATGTAAAAAAGCTTATCAAACAGGGAGGCTCTTCAGTATTTTCTAAAGATGGTTAGATTCTGGATTCATCAAATCTCTGGGATTTTTGTTCCACAGTCAGATTACATGAATTTGTTGAATATAGAGAACTCCAGTTTGCCTTACATAATTATGGAGCTCTTTTATCTCTTGATGGAAAGTTATAATGTAGGTCTCTTTATTAGATGAGAATGTAGACAGAAGACGCTTGTAATCATAAAAAGATTGAGTAGGCTAATTTCCTGAAGTTTATTTCCTTTTTGTAACAAATATTTATTGTCAAATGTTTATCATATTACTTTTTCATTTAGATTTTTTTAGTCCTTTATTGAATTAAAAATACCACATTACCATTGGCTAAAAGAGGAGACAACGACGTTTGCCAATAATTTCTACAGCTAATGCCAATGACCGGTGCCAATTTTTTTTTTTTTGGTTCATATTTTTGTAGACAGCTTAGAGACTTACAATACAAGCATTCTGTAGATGAGGCATGAGAGATACAAAGATGAAGTGAGCAGAAATGTAAAGGGTTTCAGAATGAAAGCCAAGAGTTTCCTATAACATATTTCAGTTCACTGAATGCAAACACCAGTTCAGGGTAGCTTAATGGCATGCACATATCAAGACAGTGCAATGGTGTGTGAAGTCAGTGGTACATACCTTCCCAGATTGCAGAAGTACTGCATTCAGGATCAGAAAGACTCAGACTTCTGTTCAAATTTCTCATGAGAAATCATCCAGACTTCTCATGAGAAATTACTCTAAATTATTTATAAATAGAGGCAGGGGGAAGGGAGTGTAGCTTATGTTTTAAAGATGTAAAATATTAAGACTAGATTAAAATCACCAGGGGCCAAACACAACTCTACTTATCTGTGCCTAACAGAGAAGAATATTGTCTGCTGATCTGGTATACTAACAAGTACATTGTGCAGGAGGAATTTCCAGAACACTATTTTAGGAGATGCTATTTCAGCATGAGAAAAACTGATTAGCTGGCAGCAAGCTGGCATTTCCCAATGCGAGGAGAGCATCCAGGAATGGCAGTCCTTTACTGCAACAAGGAATGCAGCAAATCTCTCTCCAAAATCTGGGCCAGCAGGATGGTACTCATAGGTATGGAGGAACTTTCCTCCTCCTAGGTATTCCTGGGGTTTCCTTAAAGGGTACATATGCTCAAAGCTTGTTTCCAGTACAGTAGTCCCAATGGTCTGATCCCTGATGGATTCGGAAAACACAGCCTCCCCAGACTCTTTTCTCATTGTTTTCATGTTCTGTGTTAGCTAGTTGTCAGGTCCAAAATAAATACAAGAGCAAATGTGAAACTCTGAGCCTGTTCCCAGGACTTGCCCGTGTTCAACAGTTCTATTCATTTGGCAGTTAGGAACCTTGCTTATAATTATTATTTTCTTTGTCCTAATCAGTTCAAAGCTCCAGAAATTCTCAGAAGGCAAAGGAATGGCTTGCTAAAAAATAATATTGGCTACTCAGTGAAAGGGCAAAGCATCTGTCAGTCACTCCTGCTATTCTAAACTAGCCGTCTGTAAAACACAAGATAGGGTAGAGAGTCACCACCTCGTTCTGGCGGCAGAATGAAGATGCTTAATGCTTTTCTTCTCTAGCCCTGCTAACACATTGCAAAAGTGTGGCCTGTGTAATCCCTATTTAAAATAGGAGGATATAGGTTAAGCACAGAAGTTAAGAGGCGTGTTCATAGTCATACAGTAAATCAGAGAGAGGCAGAGCCAGGAGAAGAACGTGGGTATCCTGCCTCCCAAGCGGGTACCGTGTCTCCTAGAGCATGTTGCCTCCCTAGCAGATTCACTGGAAGAGCAGAGGTCCAGTGACCACTGATCAGCCAGCTGGTTCATGCATTAGTATTGCTGCAAAGGAGAATTAGATTTAGATCCTAGCAATGGCTCTCAGCCCAATTCCAGCAAGGCTAGAAGTGTCATGAGAACCTCCTCTGATTCTGGCACATTGACTTCAGATAGGGTTTGCCTGTGTTGAGGCAGAGTGTAAACTGAATAAGGACTTCCAGATCTGGCTCTAGGAGTTTAACATTATCTCTGTGGGTGGCAGCTTCAAAAACACTCAGCATTGGCTTCCCTCTAAACTGACACCGAAGACAATGGGAGTTTTACTGTGCATTTCAATGAGAGCAAGCTGGGCCAAGGATGCACTCCACTGGAAAATCCCACAGCCTCTTTGCAGTAGAGAGTCCTTCCATCCTCAGTTCCTTTCCAGCTGTGCTTCCCTTCTCCACCCTCACTCCCAGGCTTCCCCGGTCCCCTCTTACCTCCATGTTCTTACAGAAAGTGGCGTTGGTCCCAAAGAGGATCTGGCACTGCTCATCTGCGCTGTAGTGCATCCCCGGCAGCTTGTGAGGAAGCCGCACCACGTACTGGCTTCGGGGGTCGGTAACCAGCAAGCAGGTGCTGACCTTGGACCTGGTGAGGGCAAGAGTGAAGCGTGCCATTAAGGAAAGGGTGTGGATGGGCACAGAGAAGGTGTCACTTCCCTATGCCAAGCGAGCAGAGTGCCTTAGCGAGACACAGTTGACTGTGAGCAACCAAAGCCGCATCTCAGATCATTACGTTATAGATCTGGGTCTACAGCTGTGGAGTCCAGAGGAACTGAGTATTTGCTCTGGTATATGATGAGCTAGCAATCTGACAGGCTTAAACCCTTTCTGAATTGCTAAGTGAATGAAATCAAACAATAGATGCGGTGGAAAAGGAGTTGAAAGTGAATTTACAGTTCCTGTCCCGTGCCCACTTCGGGGTGAGGGAATGACTTTGAATGAACTCTCTGAGAAACGAGCTTTTCTCCGACTTGTACAAAACAGGCCGTTCGAACAGCACAGAGCTGCCAGGACCTTCCAAAGAGGGAGGACATTTTAAGGACATCCATCTACTGTATTCCCAGACTGATTCCTGTCACTGCAAACACGGAGGGGATTCAGCTCTAAAACAGAGGTGAAATGGTTTTCTGTTCAAGCAGCTGTCAGTGTGCTGACGTATGGGGCAGATACCATTTTCCATTTCTTTGTTGTATTCTCTGCCAGCCTCGGATGCAGAGAGGCTGCAAAAGGAGGCAGACTCAATCATCTGTGCAGAAATTTTACACATATGCACCCCCGCCTTCACCTCCCTCCCCGCCAGGCCCTGCTCTGACAAACGAGCTCAGTGTTTCCATTTCAAATCAGATCCCAGCTCCCGGCAAATATGGGACTTTCCCTGCTCATCGTGTCCTTACTTGAGGAAGTTTTCAAGGTCGTCACGGCTGCAGGAAGACCAAGAAAGGTCACTGGGATTCCTACCCTTCACCCACTCTCCGGACATGATGTGTGACCTCCCTGCACAGGCTAAATGGTCGTCATCATGGCTCATCCCCATGCTGTTGAGTTAAAAAAAAATACACAGATAAAGCCAAGCCATGTACATGCTTATCAGTCCCCAGTGCACTGCTCAATGATGTGCTCTGATCACTTTAGGTATAGCAGACACAGCAGAAAGTAAAGCTTAGTGGAGAATCCATCATTAATAAATCATCTCACAAATTTAGCCTCCAGCCCATGCACATATCACAATTTTCCTGAGTGTACCTCTTGAAGTTAGAGTACACCTCTATAACTTCAAGAGTGAGTTAGTTGGTTGTTCCTCGCTCTCCAGATTGATGGCCACCACCGGTAGGGGCTGATGGAAACATTATAAATTCTGGCAGCAACCTGTAGCTGGGATACAGCTCTGCGACGTTTCATGGACCTGTTTCTAGGACCCGATTAGTGAGTCCATCCGGTGAATTCTCATGCAAGCCACTTCAACAAGGCATTGCTGTTTTCAGTGGGCTTCCCGTGGACTTTCCAAGCAGGAACTCGCTTGCTTGGAGGTTCACGAAAAGTGAGCACATGAAGGGGTTGAAGCACAGCAGAGCATTTTCAAAGCAGGACTTGCAGGAAACTCTGCCCTACTTGTCCACGTCTAGTCAAAAAAGTTCATTAGAGCCAAGTTGAGCACGGTCAACCAATACTGAAGTATAATTCATGCGAAACACTGGGCCTAACTATGCCCCTGTGCCAGTGTAAATCTGGGGTAACTCCACTTGACTTACAAGGGTTATTCAAAATGTGCACTATCCTTTAAGATAGGAGCACCCAGATGCCCCGACCAGAATCAGAGCCCCTTTTTACTAAGCACTGCCCCAGCCAGTATAGATAAATGCAGAATGCGACCCACTATAGCACATCCAAACAAATGATGCACATTGGGTGTATGCAAACATAACTGAGAAATGAAAATATCAATCCACTGATTGATCCAAAGTGTTTTACAAGCCAGCGAGGTACTTCTGAGGTCATGGGTTAACACCACACTTTTTCCTGCTGTGCAATGAGAGGATACGTGACTTGGGAAAGTTCATGTAACATGCAAGTAAGAGAATCGAGATACCATAAACCCTAAATTCCCAGCCCATCCACATTGTGCTGCCTACCAACACTGTTAGGACTTGAGGCTGCCAATATTACTTTTCTAGCAAAATACCAGTCATCTGCATTAGGATCCAAAAGACCAGCCACAAGGGTAACAACGAGTCTCCCAGCTAAAGAAACAGTTTGTTCCTCAGCAGAAGGGCATCTTCCTGTACAAGGTTCTGGCTTGCTGGACTAGCCAGTTCCTTTAACTGGGTTACTAATACGTACATGGCTCGAAAAACGTGAGTTCGTTTATATTCAGTTCTTTGCCCCTCTAGCTTCATTTCTCTCCAGTTTTGGGATTCAAATATTCAAAGCCTCAACATAACATAAATTCCCACTTCTGATGAATCAAAACCAGCTTCACTAGCCTGATAATTATGGCTTAGATTTAACCACCATTTAGGCTATTTTTAGCTGAAAGTGAAGATTACACGGCTGAGTCTATTATTTTAGGTTTATCTCCAGGGACGTTATTATCTCAACCAAAAATACAGTTAACATCATCTCTTTTTTTCTCCTTTTTAGACTCAGAAGCTCATAGCTTTTCGTGCTTTTTAACCTCTGTGGGTTTTGAGCAGAGCAAAAATGTTAACGCAGAGCACGCTCTGTTTGACGCACGCAGCCGTAATTTAACAGTCAGTTAAATTCGAAATTCGAAAAGATAAAGGTTGAAAACCTTGCCCCCTTCGCACTTCCCAGGGGTTTTGCTAGTGACTTCAATAGGGCCTGGACTCCACTCAGGTTGTTCTGTCCTTGTGGCTTCAACCCAAGCTCACACACACACACATGCACGCACGCAGTACTACATCTCAAAAAAAACCCAATTGCCCCACACACATCTCTATGGTACAGGTTAATCTAATAGGGTTCTCCTAATGCAAAAAGGCCCACATAAAGCTTGCACTTATAAGAAGTGAGAAAGGAAGAGCTGAACATCCAGGAACCACCCAGCTACATAACAGCTGAATGGAAGGTTTCCAGTGGGACATTTTTCTGCTGGAGAACGCTATGTCCATAGGATCTGTGGGAACATGTTGATGTTTGCCAAATCTGGCAGAAAGCAGGTGGGTTTCCAAAGGAAGATGGCTTGGTTCCTTGCCAGCTCACCTGCCTTGCGGGCTGTCGCAGAGCAGGGGTGCTTCATGGCTGGAGAGACCCAGCATCGCCTGGCGCCCTCAGATTTCCCAGGGTCTCTGCCAGCACACTGGGAGCCCTGGCTGAGTGCTCCCATACAGCCAGGAGCCTGGCACCTTTGATGGCTTAGTGGAAAGTACGGCTTTTCAGCACTTCTGGGCTCTGTGATATGGAGCCTGGTAGCCCTGAGATTCCCAGCCCTCTGCAGGGCTTGCAGGCTCCCAGCTTCTCCAAAGCTTCCTCACTGGTCAGCCAGCCCTGCCCCGCTCCCCTCCCCTCGCCTCGGTGCTCATGGCCCCCCACCAATTCCACACTGAAATGGAACGTCAGTCTGATCTCTTGAAATCACAGCATCGTAGAAAATGAGGGTTGGCAGGGACCTCAGGAGGTCGCATCTAGTCCAACCCCCTGCTCAAAGCAGGACCAGCCCCAACTACATCATCCCAGCCAAGGCTTTGTTGAGCCGCGTCTTAAAAACCTCCAAGGATGGAGATCCCACCACCTCTCTAGGTAACCTATTCCAATGCTTCACCACCCTCCTACTGAGAAGGTTTCTCTTAATATCCAACCTAAATTTCCCTTGCTGCAACTTGAGCCCATTGCTCCTTGTCCTGTCATCTGCCCCCAGGGAGAACAGTCCAGCTCCATCCTCTTTGCAACCGCCCTGCAGGGAGGTGAAGGCTGCTATTAAATCCTCCTTCTCTAGACTAAATAAGCCCAGTTCCCTCTGCCTCTCCTCACAAGTCATGTCCCCCAGACTTCAAACCATTTTCCTTGCCTCCACTGGATTCTCTCCAATTTGACCACATCCTTTCTGTAGTAGGGGGCTCAAAGCTGAACATGAGACCCCAGATGTGACCTCACCAGTGCTGAATAGAGGGGAAGAATCACTGCCCTTGCCCTGCTGGCAACACTCCTACCAATGCAGCTCACTATGCCGTTAGCCTTCTTGGCACCAAGGGCACACTGCTGGCTCCTGTTCAGCTTCCTGTCCGCTGTCACCCCCAGGTCCTTTTCTGCAGAGCTGCTGCCCAGCCAGTCGGCCCCCGGCCTGCACCGGTGCATGGGATTGCTCTGTCCTAAGGGCAGGACTTTGCACTTCTCCTTGTTGAACCTCATGAGATTTCTTTTGGCCCAATCCTCCAATCTGTGCAGTTTTGTGGCGATCTTAATACAGTGCATCTTCAGTCCCGCTTCTAATTCCAGGTTCCAGCCAGGCTGAGTAAATGACATCATCAAATGTGATTTGGGAAGCATAGAGGCAAATTTTGCCCTATATAGACTGACCAGTCTCCCCCAATACTGACTTAGGAAAATTACTTTTTTGCCATTGTTTGTGAGCTCATCTGGGCCACAAACCAACCCCGGAGCAGGGATGACTCCTTAGATGAGTACCGCTTGGCAGAACACAGTTATATCTCAAAGCCATCCTCCTTGGACACCCAGACCCTGAGATATAGCCTGTTCTGATCCCCCTTCCCGAAGCTGAGTAGTAAGCTAGGCCCTCAAAAAGGCCAGTGGATTTCAAGCTAGAAGGTCCTTTGCAAACGTGGGAAATCTGGCCTTCACTGTTCCTCCTTGCAGGGTGTTTGTCTTTAGCAGCAAGTCAAAATTAGGAGCACATAATAAATCCTCCATTTCAACTTGACTGAAGTTTCCTGCCAAGACCGCGTGTTATAGCTCCTAACTCCCCTTCCATCTAGAGAGAGACCTGCATCCCTCACCGTGCACTTGGTGGTAACTGGACGTAACTACCAGTATCACTCAGCAAAGCTTGCCCTGACTCTTCGTACAGGTTGCTGGCACCTGGGCTGACCCAAAAGCAAAGCCCTACCACAGTCTTGAGGCCACACAATCCTAAAACCCTGAGCCCAGAGGCAGGTGCACAGAGGCACGATGCAACCAATTCAGCTCACGTTTGTTCCCCAAGCAGCACAGAGAGACTGTGCAGTACCTCAGCTGCACTGAATGAGGTTTAAGAGCAAAGAGCCATGAATTTAAACACAGAGGCATGGGACTACAATCTGATCTCAAGCATCCTGGCTGGACGAAAACACGCTGTTTTGTGCAGGGTTTATCTGAGGCTCGAATCTAACGCAGACTTCCATTTGCTGGTGGAGTGTCAGCCAAGTCAATGAACCGAGACGCGGGTCATCATGTGCTACTGTCTGCCAGTGCTATCTTAATGCAAAGTAATCGTGGAGTTTTGGCAAAAAGCTAGATTCATCCAGTGTCCAAGAAAAGAAATACAATAAAAAGACACAAAGAGCTGGAGAAGTGAGTGCAAACCATCAGTCTCTAAAATACCTTCATATAAAAAACAACTTGTTTTCCAACTATTTAAGTTGGTCTAATAAAAGATATCAGATTCACCCAACCTTGTCTGCCTATAAAAAACAAGGCACCCTAGCTGCTTCATACCAAGGGGACACCGGATTTAAATGTCAAAAGTACCTGTAAAACCACCTTCCCACGAGAAAGCATGTTTATAAAGTAAACCCCATTTAGATGGCAAAAGGCACCCTGCAGTAATCCTAGAAAGCCATCAGCATTGGCATGGACAGGGGAACTGCCAGGCAGGCTGACAACTGGCTGGAAGAGCAGGAATCAAGGCTTGGGTTGAGTTTGAGGGGGTGAGGGTGGAGGCAGGCAAGGCCCTGAGTTGGACTGGGTCAGATGCCACATCTTCCTTACTGACCACTGGGCAGAGCAACACAACTGGCAAGAGAGCGCAAAAGTGAGTGCAAAAGGCAGCTGGAGCCCTGCTGCATGCAAAGAGAGCTGGGAG